CAAAAGCGGGAAATGTGTACACACTGTCGCCCGAAAAGCAATTACAGAGGTCAAGATGGGGAACTAAATTAGAAAATGACTATAGGACAAGATTGCTGTAACACTAAATGTGAGTTTGCATTTAATCTTTTAAAGAACGACTAATCATCGTTTTTACACAAAAAATTGAACTTTTTTTCGCCCTGAAGAGCATTCCCAAAAAATTCGTTGAAAACACGTTCCGAAAATATTTTATTTTTGAAACTTGGCTTTGAAGTCCGTAACAGTGCACATAATGGATATCGACGGCGTAAGTCCGCAATCACATATCTCGTTTGCGGTGTCTGAAAATCTCCGCCTCTATTTTATTTTTTAAAAGGAGAACAAATTGACATCATTCCTTGAACTTTATGCAGAATTTTCTTTGTACAGAGAAGAAAAATCACGGCAGTTTTAAAGAATTGCCGTTGAGCAGTTTTCCGTTTAAAAAATAAATTATGACAGGAAGTCTGCGACGTCGCAAACCGAGTTATGTGATCGCCGACTTACACCGTTGATATGGTCACGTTCTTCCATTTATTAGAGCAAGAAATACACATCAAAAGCATATCGATCGTGGCTAAATTGCGAAACCAAATATCTCAATTTCGGTATTTAACAATTTCAGCGACTTTTTCACTTTTTCGAGGAGAAATAAGCCAACTTTATGGCTTGAAATTCATACAGAATATTCTGCTGACAGAGATTAAAATCAAGAAAGTTCTCTAAAAATTATACGTTGATTAGTTTTCCCGAGGAAAAATAAAGTATGCCATGGTCTGAAGCGTTACAAAACTGAGATACTTGGTCTTGCGTTTTTAGGCCGAGAATATCACAGATCGACAAACTATAACAAAGTAAGAAATCATAACATGCATCATTAGTGAATGACGAAAGTCACCGTATCTTTCCAAATGGCGATATAGCTCCGTTATTAATGCGTGCTTCGAAACTGGACGTTTGGTTGGATATCATTTCATTTTATTAGTCTGAAAGATTTAGCCGTCAATGTCCGACACCACGATCAGCGTAACTAAGTCATTGGCGATCCTTACTCTCTATTATACTGCCGTGCTAAGGAAGAACGCCGTATGAACAATCGGTAGTTGCCAAATTTCCTTTGATAAACCCTGTATTTTTGAAAAAATCCATGCATATTTTTTCTTGAAATCTTCAAATATTTTAGTTTAAATTGCGTACAAAATTGTCTGAAAATTTAAGAAAATAATATTCCCAATTTTCCCAGGAATTTTAGTTTTTATCGGAGGAAACTAGGCTACGTCTGAAGGTTCATACGGCGTTTTTCCTTAGCAAGGCAGATTATTAGACTAGTTATGCATCAGCCTTTGAATGCCAAAGTCTGGCGAGGCGCCACCGGTCTTAACGCCAAGTTTGATCGTTCCGCGCGGAAGAGAGTAGTGATGTCGGAAATATGCCGTGGATGTTGTCATTAGAGTATACAAGTTGGTTCGTAAGCCAATATTTACCGAATCGCTTTGTATTGAACAGGATATTCTAATATTACAGAGGAGAGAAAACTCATTAACCGACTTTTTTGCCCGAGAAATGTAAGTAGAAATATCCACCCGAAGGAGCAACATTGGTTACAAGTTGGGACCCGGGGAGACATTGTATCTAAGGATAACTAGATTGGACGTAACTTGATTTCGGATTTGATCAGTCAAGCCACCAATCGCTACCGCCAGGATTTTCTGCTCTTGCTGTAGAGGATAAATCTATTATCCTATTTTAAGATGACAAATATGGCCCTGATGGCTGATTTGAAGTTAATTTGGAAATTGATAGACAAAAAGACACGTACGTAGGACGCGCTGCCAAATCGTGGATTGAGGGAATAAGGGAGGAAATGAGGAGATGCAATCTGCCGCGCCGGAGAAGCTTTGGCAGGATCGCTATATCAGTGGCGGTTGAGTGTCGCAGAGCGCACAGAAGCGCTATAAGATCGACTTATTAGTAGTAGTATAGACAAAAAGACGAAGAGAATATGGAACGATTCAATTGGTGGAGGCGAGCGCGGTTGCAATGGAAGCCGTTTCGTAAGTAATAGAGTAATAGACACACTAACATCAAGCCACAAGACCTTACAGTAAGTCCAGCATTTTCCTCCAGTCTACGTAGCAACCACCCATTTCAACCAGTAAGATCGTTCCATTTTCCCTTCATCTTCCACTTCCACTTCCATTTCCACTTATCTATGTCTTTCAATTTTAACAATTAGCCTACTGCACTGATAAAATCTCGAGGTGAAATTCGCACCAGTCTATTTACCTCCTAGACGACTTGAGTGGTATACGGGCTGAGAAAAATCTACTTTTTCGCGAAATGAACTCCTAAAGGAAAAAGGTCTTGCATTATTCTCACCCTGTCTTGCAGCCGATTCGAACCTTTTTAAGTCAAAAGAAACTATATCCATCTGGCATGGGCCTTGAGATCTATACTAATACATGCACGGCAGGGCTCATGCCGCAATGGATATAGTTTCCTTTGATTCAAATGCGTCAGTAGGAATGAAATGAATGTTTTAACACACACTGCACTTCGTGTTCATCTTTTGCACAAACTGCATCCTGCACTTTGTGCTTGTGTTGAGCACAAACTGCATCTACACTTTGTGATTGTGTTGGGCACGAACTGCAGCCTGCATTTTGTGCTTAATTTGAGCACAAAGTACAGAGATGCATTTGGAAACACCATGTTTCATAATAGCACGCGTGTGCTGAAAGTGAGGATTGGGCTCGTGATGAGCACGGGTGCAGTTTGTGCTCAGATAAGCACAAAGTGCAGTGTCTTTTAAAACATACATTTCATTCCTAATTGCGTGCAACTATTTTTCTGGAGGTCACTTTTTCCGTTCTCAAATTTTGGGCCAAGGCAAGTTTCGAATATTTCCGGTGGTCTCCGTTCCTGTTAATTTTCTCGAGGTGGATCGAACCTACTTTTACTACTCGGTCTCTGGTGAGAGCGAAGATTCGCAGTGCGGCTACGGCACGGCAAGGAGGAAAGGCAAGCCGAGAGAAGATGAAAAATATTTCGGTAGTAAGCGTCTTAATTACTTCCCCATGTACGCGAGCCGCACGCCGGATCCGGAAAACCCAGCGGGGGACCAAGAAAATTAGGTCCTGATGAGCATGAGTACATAACACAATTGCGGAGCGATGCATGTCGGATTTCGGATGCTGCTACATGCTACGTCCGCGCTTCAAATCAAAATTAACCCAAATTCCAGTTCCTCCTTCTATTCGCCGCGCACTCTCCGGTTTTTGGCGTCGGAGCCGTGAACTCGGTTGATTTTGTTTGATGATCGATGAGGCGCTTCGATGACGGTGACAAACACTGTTTAAGTGTCTGCTGGCTACCCCTCCTTTCAGACTCTGCTGACCGACATGATATACTCGAACGAATGAGGTTTGCGTTGCGAAAGATGTTGGAATGAAAATAACCCCAAACTTTGAATGAAAACATTTTTCTATAAAATAGGAGTCACCTTTATACCGCGCATTACATTTATTTTATTTAAATTTGTACATAATTTGTACAATTAGTTAATTTTGTACATTTGTAAATTTAGTTTAATATGCACAAATTTAACTAAAATAAATATAATGCACGGTAGAAAGGTGACTCCTATTTTATAGAAAAATGTTTTCATTCAAAGTTTGGGGTTATTTTCATTCCAACAACTTAAATAGAATTAATTCAATTAAAAATATTATTATATAGAAATTATTTTTCTTGGTTACAAAGTCATCTTTCTCAAATCGTATATATGGTTTTTCCCTCCCACCCACTCGTTTAAATATCATCTTTAAAAAATTATTTTCTCTTCCTGCACTATATGCGGGAAGTACGTGTAATGGTATCATTACTGCTTTTCGCGAAATATGCCACTGTCAACTATATGATAATGTTGCCTTATTTTGGCGTTCATTTTACCGGCTCTTAAAAAAAAGACTCTTAAATTTGCCGCAGGAAATATATTTTCTTGAGTCAAGAATGTTGCTACTTAATTCAAGATACTTTTTAGCTTAACCCAAGCATCTTTCCTCTTTTTTTCTAGGAAAATTCCAGAAAAAAGAACTCTTGGCGTCAAATTTAAAAATCATCAACCTTAAGCCAAGCAACTTATTTTTCAGTGAAAAAAAAAAGACCGCCGTTCGATATTCTACAGCTGTTCGACTATGCTTTTCAAGCCCAGAGTTTCAACCTATTTTTTTTAATGTCATACGAGTATTTTGAACAAATATCTAGATTTTTTTTTTTTTTCAACCATCCAGCTTACACTAGTTTCCGGTAAAACCGACGTTTCTTTTGAAACTTAGGTGCTTTAGAAACTTTGATCCTACAAAAAAACCTGACTTGTACATAATAAGAGAACTGTCTTCATTTTTGGATGCGGCTCCATACGTAAATCTAATTATAAGTACATTGCCACAATTCTATACCTAACACTGGAAAAAAAAAACACATTGGATCTAGAGTCCAGACTCTTGAAAACATTGACAAGAAAAAATACTCTTGATTCAATCGGCTTTTTGCTTGAATCAAAACGGAATCCGCTTAAATTAAGAGGCTTTCTTGATTTAAGCTAGATTCTGATTGAACCAAAAGAGTACTTTTCTTGTCGATGTTTTTAAGAGTCTGGACTCTATATCCAATGTGTTTTTTTTCCAGTGAATCCCTGAACAAAAGTTATGCATGTGTTTCAACTGAAATAACATAACAGTAAAACATGGTCAAATGGGGGAAACAAGACAACATCGAAATGCTTTCTGAGGTTTCAGCCAGAATTAGCCGCAGCGGTAGGCAGGCAACGTGTTGTAAATGACATGAATATCTATCTCCAAAGCCATCAGGTTGGCAGGTGACCGTAGTGACCACTAGTTTACCGATCGCGAAGCCGGCGCGATGGCCTAAAGCCTCAAATTTTTCGAAGGCGGCAGGAAGTAGAAAACGTGCATTACCTGGTTGCGAATCCGGTTTCGAGGCGAAAAGAACGCATAATCCAGTTTCGTAGTTTACGGCCTGACACTGTAAATCTTCGCGACAACTCCTGATGCACTCTGTAATTGACAAAATCCCCGGTTTCGTCGCTATTATGTTTCCGGGTGAACTGAACACATAACCGGTGGTCAACTCGAACGATACATCATCACTATTCGTACATTTACACAGCACCGTCTCGGTCCACGACAACAGAACCAACACTACCCAGTGTAACATCACAGTCAAACAATCGGTTTTATATTTCATTTTAATACCTATTTTACAGTTTCAATTATTCTAAATAAATTAATCAGCACTTCGTTCAATTTATTTCACTTTCAAAGGGTAGTTAATGCAGTTCATCCCCGTTATTGATACGAGCATATCTCACGACTTCATACTCATTTTGTGCATAGTAACTCCTACTGAGGGGGTTGAATTGAAAGTTGCCTAGCGTCTGGTAACACCGATGGGATTTTAAGTTCGTAACACTTTTTTTCTTTCGTTCGCATGGCAATTGCCAGCGATTAAGTGAGATTATACCATGATACGAGGATTATAATATTTTCTTACATCACTTTTTTTCGATCTTGTACACACATTTTCCCACTCACCGCGAGTCAAAATATTCGATCAAAAATTTCGAATGAAATTAAGCACTCTGCGATTAATATTAGAAAATTATCATGCACCAAATCCAAGTATAATGCGGTATTTTTATTTTTAAAAAACCCTCTGATTTCCAAGAAATATTTTTTGGGGGAAATACTTTTTTTGGAGGAGGGGGGTGGGGGTTCAAAATTTGCTCGTAATCCACATTTTAAGTAACCACATTATTTTTCTCTATCGCCGTGCGTGTTTGTTGGATTATACTAGCGAGGATAATGTAACAATTTTCGCGTGGGAGGATGCGCGACGCGATGCGTTGCGCGAGTGCGCGCGGTGCACGGGCAGGAGCGCGATGGAACGGAGCGGGCGAGCGTCCGGGAGTGCGCTAACCTCATAGACGTCGCGCGCTAAACTGACGTCTGAATCTTGGTCCTCTCCGGCCCGAAATCCCGGAGCGGCGCTCGCAGTCGGCCGGCGCGTTACGCCCGCCCCGCCGTCGCCGTCGCGCGGTGGATCGAGTCCGTAGGAGAGGTCGGACAAAATGCGGAAACTTTAAACGCTTGTAACTCCGTCTATCAACAACAACCATGGTCTACAAACCATTTCCTCGTAAAATTTTCCTCTAAAGCACCCCTTGAAATTGTATATGTGACGAAATATACATCAAAATTTGCAGTTTTGGTAAAAAATCAGTAGACCGCACTGAAAAAAAAGTATCACAGTCTCTACTACATATACTTCCAGCTGATTTTGGCGCCAACCATACGAGTAGTTGCACCAGCTAGCGGTATAGTTAATTCAACCACTTTTTTAGCCAACTTAACTATACCTCTGGATTTTGCAACTACTCTTAATATGAGGCGCCGAAATCAGCAAGGAGTGTAGTTGGGATTGTGATACTTCTTTTCCGTGCGAGTCAATTGGAGAGGTTGGACAAAATTTGGAAACTTTACGCTTATATCACCGTTTATACAAATTTTGAGGTTCTAAAAGTGGCTCGATTGGTGTCCTCGTGAGATTTTCCTCTGAAAGCACCCCTTGAAATTGAAACTGTGACGAAATAAACATCAAAATTTGCTGTTTTTGTCAAATATTTCATGTCCAACCTCCCTGATCGACTCGATCCAATGTTCGGCGGTGGTGGCACTTGTACGTCACGGGTGTCCAGGTACCCAACGGTGTCATGTTGTTGCAGTCTGTTATTACTCCATTTATATAAACCGTTGAGGTTCTAACAGTGGTTTCATTGGTTTTCTAGAGAAATTTTCTTTAAAAAACACCTCTCGAAATTTAAAATGTGATGAAATAAAAGTTAAAATTTGCAACTTTCGTTAAAAATTTCATGTTCGGCCTCTCTGATTGACTCGATCCACTGTGCGGCGGCGCGGTGCGGTGGGACCGCAAATCCACGGGGAGCCCTTTTCACGCCGCGGCGCGCCCGGCGCTTAGGGACCCCGACCACCGCATACGTACGAAACTCATCGTGAGTGATGAGTTGCTCGTAAATATTTTGCGGCGTGCGTGTGGTTTATGAATATGTATACCTAGGCGCTGATTATATGACGTCATCGATTGAGTTAACCGGAATCGGCTGCGTCCGCTAAGGCCACCTCTTGAAAAAAAGCGGGCTGGGGGGCGAAAATATACCACCGGCAACGAGTTCTTCTCTTATTTTTCAAAAACAATCAATCCTACGATCGAGCAATGTCAATTAGAAAAAGACGGAAGAACTTTGACATCACTCAATAAAGTAAGACACCATTAAGGGACGCAAAGACTCTTCAATCCCTCGATCTCAGGATTGCAGGCTCGGGTTGCACACTGGTCAAAAATGGTGTGGACTGCGGTAAGTCCGGTGGCACCGAGGTATTACGAATTTTCAATGATTAAAAAGCGCACTGCAGTGAACGAGCAATGCGTGAAGTATTCCTGCAGTCTTATAGGCGCTAATTATGCGCCTCACGCCGACCAGCGACCGTACTGAGTTTGGCGCAACGCGTGAAGTATTCATACTGGCTTGTAGGCGCTAATGTGCGTTCCGCGCTGACCGGCGGCCGCACTATGTTTGGCAAGATTCGATACTAGGATACAGCATTAGATTTGAAAGAAATTGTAGAAAAAGAGGAGAGATAATAAGTTTGAAGAAAAATTAAGGGTGTACTCTCAGAAAGTTTGATTATAAGGAATGTACTCACGAAAATTTAAGTCGGGGTGGTTATCAGTTTCTTGTTGAATAAAATAAACGTAAGAGAAGATTAGGCGAAAAGCCTAATGAAGTTAGGCTGATTCATGTTAAGCCTTCAAATGGACGTATTCCTGCCAAACGGAACTACGTTCATTAAGACATGAACCCTGAGACCCATAAGAATATATGCATAACAGGGCTCACGTGATGATGCACATAGTTCCGTTTGACAGAAATACGAACAAATCATTTTGTAGTACAAGCTGCCTCTAATTTTCCTGAATGAGGAAATATAGATAAAAAAAAGTGCAAGGAAGACGGTCCCAGACGGCTCCGTGCAGTGACAAAAGATGACAGGACATTTTGTTAAATGTCTAAATTAGTCAAATATTCTTACTTATATTGGAATTTTGATTCATTTCCTAGTTTTAGACAAAATAATTTATTCCTCCTGTGAGAAATAATTATCTGTAAAAATATACACCCAGGATGCATATTTTTACAGATAACTCTTGTAGAATGCATTGCATCCTACGATAGTATTTTCACTGAAAAGAAAAAAGTTCGGTAAATTATGGAACCACGATGTTGTTCGGTACACACAACCCAATTATTAGTTCTGCTCAACCTAATTGTTCGGTTTGTACGACCGAACCATAATAAATTCGTACAGTTCGGTTCAGTGGACCGAACAGTTCGTCTGAGCAGATCGAATAATTCGGTCGTGTGTACCGAACAACATCGTGGTTCCATAATTTACCGAACTTTTTTTTTCAGTGATGAGATTTTTAGCGCCTGAACAAAAATTTATTTTCTCGACACCTTCGGCATATCATAAAAACATAATTTTTAAAGTTTTAAAATTTAAACATGAAGCGTTCGAAGAGGAAGAAACAAGAACTCGTACATTTTGATGAATTATTTTTTTCACAAAGTATTGATAAGTCGTGAGTCTCCCCATTATATCAACACAACTTTGGAATTTGTCAAAATTTGATTATTTGGCTCGGCATTTGATAAAATGCCAGAGTTGAATAACTGCCTGCGATATATACATTCTGGTACGCTGCGGTTATCGCAGTGTTAATACAATTACCCAGGAGTTAATTTGTTGTTCAAATGCATATAAAGCAATCAATTGCATCATAGAAATGTTGTGGTCGAGATCCTCGAATTATTCCCTCACGCGGAGAAAGAAACCGACGATTTAATAATTCAATACAGTGGCCTCCATAGGCAGTCTACGGTTCTATATTTCGCACTCGAAACGCACGTATGAAGTTTGCGGTGAACCGTTTTTTCCGATTCGTTCCTTCTGGCGCAAAACCTTTTTGGACGTATTTCTGCCAAACAGAAGTATGTGCATTAAGACATGAGCCCTGAGACCCATAAGAATATATGCTTAATAGGCCTCACGTAATAATGCACATAGTTCCGTTTGGCAGAAATATGTTCTTCTATCGTGTGGGGAAGCTCATTGTTGCTGCGATACTTGAAAGCGTCCATGTCAAAATCGAGTACATTCATTATTTGATAAGCTCTATACTGTCGTGTTAAGGAAAAACGCCGTATGAGCCTTCAGGCGTTGCCGAATTACCCCTGGCAAATCACTCATTTCCAGGAAAATTATTGAATGTTTGTCTACCAATTTCTCAGATAATTTTGTTCGTAATTTGATCCGAAACGTCTGCAATTTTCAAGGTAAAATATTCATGATTTTCCTCAAAGATAAACATTTTATCGAAGGAGATTTGGCAACTCTCGAATGTTCATACGGCGTTCTTCCGTAGCACGGCCGTATAATACAGACATTCTTATGGAGCTCACGGTTTATCAGGAGCTGCACTTGTGAGGTTTCAAAATCGACCGTTCACTTGAAAACGTCTTTGTTTGCGGTCGCGGTTGTGTCCGCAAGTTGAGAGAAAGCACTCACATGTGCGCCTTCGCAATTCCGTTGATTGAATCATTTTATTTATAAAACTGTGCTGCGTAAACCACGAATTTTCATATGGTTTGCGTTGGAGTTACGTGGATTTTGATCAGCGGTGCGGAGCGGATTAAGTAACCGGGAACGTCATTTATTCGTCCCTCTGACGTAAGGGCGTATCTGGATAGCCACATGAGCCCCAGAAAGCATGGGTGTATACGTAAAACAGGGCTCACGTGGAAATTGAGATACGCCCTTACGTCAAAGGAGCGACGATTTATTCGCACTAACATTCCAACTTCAATTTGTCAGTGCGATTACCTAAAATCCGCTCGGAAGGGTAATATTGCCGTACGTTCAGGCAAAATACCATAAGAACATCAGGATGTTGCGAAATTTTCTACCGATAAAATGTTAATTTTCGATAAAATTTCAGAATATCAACTCATGAAATTTTTAGTTAATGTAGCCTTAATTACGAGTAAAATTCTATGGGAAATTGGACGCAAAATTTGCATAAGTCTCCCAGAAATTTGATCTTTTATCAAAGAAAATTTGGCAATGTATGACGGCTCATACGTCGTTCTTCCTTAGTATGGGAATACGACCGGGTGATGAGCATGAATTGTAGACCGTATCGCTAACTTTTTTCGCCGGCTATTTTTTCTAAATCCATCCTTGAAAATTTTAATTGAAGTTGTGCAAGAGACCCTCTGATTACACAAATCTCATGCTCATGCACTGATTGAACACGAGTATGAGGATGTTTTTGTCTCACCTTGAGAAAAAATTTGCAAAAAATAATCGCAACACGCATGCTTTTAGTGTTCTTGACCCGGTTGAATTTATTCCTGGCTAGTTAAGACAACTTTCCCAGCTGAATTTTGAATTTACAGTTCAGCTCTTGTACTCCAACCTATGAGTTTTCAAATTAGCGTGAGAGAACTTAAGAATATGAAATGATTAATCGGTATTGTCATCCGTTTACCAGAACATGCATTAGGGTTGCCCACTGCAGAAGATGAGCAGAATCATTACCAAATTTTGTAGCGTCAAAAATCAATTTATGAAAATCCTTCGCGGGAATCCTCCTCGTCTCATTTACATCAATAATCCTTCAGGACTTACTAAAAAATGACGCTTATTTTTGGTAAGAAAAGCTTTGAGCCAGAACAGTCCTTACCCCACACCTTACACCTAAACTTACCTTGACCGTATTTTAACTTACTATATTACTTACTCTCAAGTACATTACTCACTCTTAAACTTATTAAATTCTAGTTTTTCTGAATTGTTTGCACTGGTTCTTAAGATAAT